CATTATGAATTAAAAAAATAACATTTCTGGTGATGTGTTTATCAACCACAAAAATCAGATATCAATCGTTATAGCTGGTTATGGTATTGTACATTGACAGGGTTTACAGCATTTCCAAAGGGCCTGGCATAGAAACAAAGATTGGCTGAGTAATTTTCCGTTTAACAGCAATCAAGTGCTTCCTGTCTACTGTTTGGTCTTAATCAGCTTGCCAATTTTTAGGGCTTTCCTTAAAATTAATTAATTGTTCTGTGGTTGTCTTGGTGTATTGTGGCAATGTCTGTCTCATGTTCTATATATGATGTTCTTGTGGAAACGTTATTTTGGAAATAGTTTTTTGTGATGTTCTTTGCCTTGGTGGGTTGAAAGAATGCCCGATGGTGTTTCCTTCCAAACTTACCACACATCCTTCTTGTAGACGCGCTGTTAACAACAACACATTTTTACTTTCATTTTTCAGTAGCGCAGGAGGTTAATCACAACAATCAGCCTCCTACATAACAGACCAACAAACGTCAATTCAAGTCAATTCAACATAAACTACATAATCACTATCAGCTCCCCTCCACTCCCTCAACACCCTTAAATGGGCACATGGGCAAAAAATAATAAATAAATATTATATTTTATATTGCATACTGAATAATGCATTTAGAAACCTTCAAATCTAATAAATTAAAGAAGTAAAGAAGCGATTATTAGTCCCTGAGGAGCAAACAGAACTGGGCCACCAAACAAACAGTGCAGATCCAACAATTCCCTGGGGAATGAAACAAACATCTGTGTGTTACTGTACCGATATCACTACCAGTGCCATCAAGACAGGCACCAACCTATTTATCATTGACTTGGAGCTGTAGAGGTTCCAGGAGAGATAATAACCAATGATGGGCTGCATAAGTAAATAAAGAAGTCGGTTGCACATGAATTATCGATCTTTCAATGTGGTTGTTGCTCTGTATGCATCAACATGATGGACCATGCGAGTACAGCTTTATATTGTTATGTTCCTCATGGGCCTTGTGGGGGTAAATGATTCGATGATTGGCGCCCAAGCTTTTCACACACATCCTTTTTTGTAGCGCTCGTTAAACAGAGTTGATGACTTGATGCTTAATTTATTGAGTTATTTGGGAACTCTCTATTAGACACCTGTAGTGTATTTATTGTTACATAAGATTAAACAGCATTTATTGACATCTTGTAAGTGATAATTAACGTGTTAGAAAGGGATTTTTTGGAGTTTCACAGCCACTGAAGAATAACTAATAAATAACAGCCTTTTCTTCTGGGACAATTCTGTAGTTTTTTTGTCCGCTGACATTTGGCCATCTGTTCTATTAAACAATTTTTATTTTTTTCAACAATGTGATTTATTGCAATTTTACTCAAAAACAAGTGTACAGTGTACAGTTTACAAACTCATAGAAGGTCTACATCGACTGTTTCCAAGACTACACTGAGACACCACGGTGGTATACACAGAATTTTTTAAACAAACAATTTTAAGTCAAAAGTCTAAAGGAAAATTTAAAATAAATATCAGGATACAAATTAAAAAGAAATTTATAATTATATGTGCAAATTGTTTTGTTTTATCAATCTCCATTTAAAAGGTAACTTCACCATTTGATTATGGCCTTCACTAAGAAGTTTACGTTGCCGTTCTTCATTTTCTTCGTTCCTGGCTATCTTCCATCATCCTTTCCACACAATCAAAATGGTCCACAAGACCTTCTCAAAAAAGTTCTTTTTCCACTTTTGATATATGTATTTTAATTATATATTAAACATTTCCTGACCAGTATTGCACTTGGGGTCTGCTGGACTTTCTTTCAAACAAGTGCAGATTGATTTTCTGCCACTGCAAAAGACCACATATCTATCCATTTAGTTTTTCACTTCTTGTGTATTTGTGAATTTGGTTCTAATATTATTAAGATAACTGGCTTATCAAAGAGCTTTTGAGATAATCATATTTATACTTTTTATATTTCTTCCCAAAAATTTCATCTAATCAGGTCTAATGTAACTCCAAAACCTGCACAAGGTCGTCCCTGGCGTTTTAATGGTCTTTCATCTCCGCCTTGCATGCTCTGTTCGTAGGCATAAACATCATGAAGACCTGCTGCGTTGACAGTTGTTCCAAGAAACACACTTGTTGCCGGCCCATCACCGAAAAAACGGGTGTAAGCACAGAAAGTCATGCTAAAGAAGCTGAATATCCAAGCATATTCAATAGAAGTTGAATGGCAGGAAAAGTAGTTATGGTAGGAAAAGGTGCACAAGCAGCAGGGATACCGAGCCTTGAGAGACTGTGAAGCAACACCAGTTCAAAAATTTGGACTTGCTCAAGCGACGTCGATGGACTGAGGCTGGAAGTCAGCGCAGTCAGGAGCCACACCACCACAGATTTCGAGGACATTGGGGTACAAGCTGTAGAAGCGTCTTACCTGGGCTAAGTTGAGAAAAAGAGCTGACTGTGCTACAGTGGCTCCAAATTCCCTTCAGATAAAAAGTGAAGTTTGCTCATTCGGAATCAAGGTCTTCCCCACAGGTCTGGAAAGAGTAAAGGTACAGAATCCAAGTTGCTTTTAGTCCAGTGTGAAGACACCAAAGAGCCCAACAATGCAGGATGACCTGAAGCCACTATCCAAGAACCTGTACATCCATGTACACCTTCGGCAGTGGCAATCAGCCCTCCGCATCACCCTCCATGCAGCTGCATTGGGATGGAATAGGATTCATGCAAAAAAAGCCGACCCATATTGAGTGCTAATATTTAGCACTCTTTTTGTAGTGGTGAACATTTCTGTTTAAATGTATTGTCTTATGAAATTATGATAATAATATTCTAATTTTCTGAGATACTGAATTTTGGGTTTTGTTAGCTGTAAGCCATAATCATCAAAATTAAAAGAAATAAAGGCTTGAAATATTTCACTCTGTGTGTAATGATATAATATAAAATATATGAGTTTCACTTTTTTAATTGAATTATTAAAATAAATTAACTTATCCACAATATTCTAATTAATTGAGATCCACCTGTAATATGTATTTTTTTTTCTCTCTGCTGTGTTACATCTGGAGCTGCTGTAACAAGTGAATTTCCCCAGTCTGTGATCAATAAAGTCTCTTATCTCTTATCTCTGTATCCAGCCAGTAGCTGCAGGTTCGGGGATCCCAGAAATCAAAAGTTACTTGAACGGAGTGAAAATTCCTGGAATCGTCCGGCTGCGAACTTTTCTCTGCAAGGCTGCTGGGGTCCTGTTCAGTGTGGCTGGAGGTAAAGTATGACAAATAGTTGTGTGCAATATGTACTCACCAAAATCTAAATATATGTATATTCATATATTTACTCGATTAGTGACTATGTAAAAGTACTGCTTAATTTAGAAACATATTAGAACATATTTTATGTGTTTTTTATGATGTAGTGTGCAAAGCATTTGAAAGTGGTAGAAAGTACATTATTTCAAGTACTGCACTTAAGTATAATTCTGGGTACTTGGAACTCTGCTTGAGTATTCCCTTATCCGCCCTCTTTCTACTTCTCTTCTACCTTGACATCAGAGGTTACAAGTTGCTTTGCATTAAAAAAAAACTTGTCATATGGTTTAACTTAACAGGTCAAATTATCCAGTATCTACAACAAAGAACATATTAGAGAAAAAAAGCCCCAAACAGATTTGTATAATGTGTTTTTATCTTTCCTTTCCCATCAATCTTTGTAAATAATGTTATAAGGAGTTCGATCTAGACCTGCTCTATTTAAAAAATGTCCTGAGATAACTTCTGTTATGAATTGGCGCTATACAAATAAAATTTTATTTAATTTTATTGAATCAATCATCTCACAACCTGTCAGATTTATCTGGTGACCCTTTGCTAAGACCCAACCCCCTTGGTTGGGAACCAATGGGCTAAACCTGCTAACTGTACATAGGGTATTTAAAACTAGCTCCATCTGGAGCATTGACAACAGTATATATGCAAATACTTCTGTACTTTTTTCAGTAGGATTTTTAATGGGAGGACAGTGCCTCTGACTCAGTGTGTGTCCACTCAGGTCTGTTTGTGGGTAAAGAAGGTCCGATGATACACAGTGGAGCCATTGTGGGAGCTGGCCTTCCTCAGGTACACCGCCACACATCCTGAGCACAACATAAACACATATATAGACCAATCAACCATAACATTATAACCACCTGGGCATCCTGACTGGTCTGTGGCATATGCAACAAACTGATGCACTGTGTGTTCTGACACCTTTCTATCAGAACCAGCATTAACTATTATTAGCAGTTTGAGCTACAGTAGCTCGTCTGTTGGATCCAGACCACGCAGGTGATTTTTTCTATGGCTCATCAGTTGTTTTCTCCCTCTATCAGTTTCAGAGCATCACTTTCAAGAGGGTCAAATTTGATTTTCCCTACTTCCGTAGTGACAGGTATGGCTGTGGTACACACTCTTTATTTTGTGAGAAAAAAATTAGAAAAACACAGGTGATACAAGACAAGACAGACCTTAATACATTGGGTGACAAGACGGGATTAGCACAATGGGGCAAAGCATGCATTGGGTACATACAATGGCACTGGCAATTGCTAATGGGAGAAAATAAAAAAGAAACCCCCAAAAAAGTTAATGGTTGGGAACTATGATGTTGGGTGTATGTATTATATAAGTTGGCAGGCATAACTTATGGTATTGTCTTTCCTCAGGGACAAGCGAGACTTTGTGTCAGCGGGCACCGCTGCTGGAGTAGCTGCTGCCTTTGGTGCTCCTATAGGTGGCATGCTCTTCAGTCTGGAGGAGGGCTCCTCTTTCTGGAACCAGGCCCTCACTTGGAAAGTGGTATGTCACCTTATCCAATGAACACCAAGAAGGTTGAGACATTTCTGTTCTTGTTGATGACTCAGTAGTTTTCAGCCATGCTAGCAGATGGCAGTGTCAGCCAATTCATTTAATTCAATTCAATTCTTTTTTATTTTAAGAGTGCCAAATCCTGACAAAAGTTATCTCAGGACACTTTTCAAATAGAGCAGGTCTAGACCGTATTTATTAGGGCCCGAGCACTGAACGTGCGAAAGCCCTATTGTAATTGAAGGAATTCTTCTTTTTCTTTTTCTTTTTCTT